CCCCAAAACCCCAAAACCCCAAAACCCCATGAGCTATTTTTGAAAGCATTAAGATTAAATTAAGATTTGCAAAATTTATTTACATATTTAGTTGAATAATAAAGCTTAAAATAAAAAATATTGATAATTATATCTAAAGGACTGAGTACTAATAAATATTAAATTATAGCAGAAAGTTATATATTGAAGCCCAGACTAAATCAATATGTTATAGTCTCAGTCAGATCTAAAGTCATAAAATCTAAATCAAAATTGCTAAAATTTTTAATCAATCGGGGATTTCCAAAAAATTACTATAACTTACTGTGATATTCCTTCAGATTTAACTAATAAACCTAAAAAAATATTGATTGATAATCAAAATAACGTACAGCTGCAATACTCCAAATAATTTATACAATTGAATTCAAATGAAGCATAAATAATCCTCGAAAATAGCAATACCAAACTATGTGTATTTGAGAATTTGGACATTAGCAAAAAAGTGCTACCGTGCATTGTTTTAGTTACAAAAGAGTGCAAAATGAAAATAGAGTTCTGTCATAGGAACGATCTTACTTCGGCCCTATAAATTCTCTAAAAATACTCAAATATAATGTATCCATCTTTAGAGGAGGATTATTGTTTGGTTTGTCCAATATACAAAGGGATTTCTTCCTTTGTTGGAAAATACTAGTAAAATTGTATAAATCCTACTAAAAATCAGAAAAAAAGTTAGAACTAGTTTTTTGCAATCAAGACCGTGGAAAATAGTCATGATTAAGACTCATAAAAAGAAATTGAATATTTGAGAGAGCTACTAGAACAACCATACATAACTTAACTTATAAAAGTTTATGAGTCTAAGAATAGTTATCACCTAGTCTACAATTATGAAGAAAATGGCACATTACTTCAATATATAAATTAGAATTAAGTACTTTAAGAAATCCAGATCAAAATACTCATGAAATAGTTGCTTTAAGGTTTAAACGTTATTCACAAATTTGATCTATTGCACAGAGATTTAAAACTATAAAACATCATCGTTGAAGACCCATAATTTCTCAAAGTAAGAATTATCGATTTCGGAATGGCTTGTAAAAATAGTGATAAACAAAGGATCAAATAAAGATGTGGGACTCTTGGATATGTAGCTCCCGAAATACTAAATTCAGGTTATACAACTTAAAAATCAGACATTTTTAGTCTTGGATGCTTGTTTTATAATATGGTTACGAAGAAAAGTATATTTTCTGGTTCTAATACAGTCTAGATTGCTAAATCTAATCAACAAGATAATCCTCTTTTAAGATTGTGATCATTGAAAAGTTAGATTAGCAAAAATGCACTGAATTTACTCAAATCAATGATTCAGCCAAATCCTTTAAATAGAGCCTCTGTTGCTTAATGCCTATCTGTAATAAATTAATAATTAATAGTTTATATAGCACACTTGGTTTGAAAGCAGTAGGAGACCTAAAACATTTTAAATTTCATCTATTAATGACATTACATATGAGAACAAATAGTTTTTACCTAGAAGTCATAATTTTGTCAGAAGCCCATCTAGATTTTAAAGAAATGAATAAAGTCCTATGAACAGATAGAATTATATTCACAAAAAAATTTCTAATAATCATGGTACCTTTCTAAGTCTATGGAGTGATTCTAAAAGAATAAACTAAATCTAGAACTTTTAATTTTCAGATTATATAAAACAGAGGGTTGCTGCATAGGATAGCACATAATTAGAATATGACATTTAGATTATTGATTAGAATCCATTTTCAAGATTTCCTCAAGAAATACCAGTTTTTTTCATTGATGACTCAATAATCTTCGAATAGTTTGATAGCGAATAGATTGTTGATGAATTCAATAATGATGAAATTTAATCGAAATTAAACTAACTAAGAGATGTTGACTGTATAAAGAAAGATAAATTGGATTTTTCCTTGATTAAAGGTTAGAGAGATTTCTCTGGATTTCGATGATAATAAGTTGAGATAGAGTATTGCTAAAGTATTTAAAAAATTCATGAAATATTAATGAGTCAGCAATTTTAAAAATTCAATTGACAATATATAAATAATTTTTGATTTATTTGTTATATTATGTTTCTATCAATTAATAAAAGAGCTCATGGGGTTTTGGGGTTTTGGGG